CACCTTCACTATAAGAATTTACATTCCTTTCAAAGTGTGATAAAGATCTTCCTCCCTGCAATTCTCCTCTGATTTTTCTGATGTTGGCCATCACAATTGGCATCTCCCACATAGCTTAGTTGAACATTTTCTCACAAATCTGTTATTCATTTGAATTTATTCTTTTGAAAATTGTCTGTTTATAACTCTGGTCTATTTTTAAGTTTGATTATTTGTGATTTTTTTTTGAGTTTTAAAATTATTTATATATTCTGGATATTTGGACAGGCAATGTGATAGTAAGATATGTATTAGATGGATAGTTATTTTCTTTTATCTGTTTTCAGGTTGCCTCTACATTGTCGGCTTTTTAGTTTGGTAATGATTCTGTTTTTCTGTTTTTGTGTTTGTTTCCTGCTTCTTGGGGGGTCAGGTCTTTGAAAGACCCGAGGCTTCTTATACACGTGTAGCCATCTCCCCAAATTCTCGCAGTAGTACCACATCTTAACATTCAGGTCTTTTGTCTGAGAGACCTTGGAACATTCAGCACTTAATGGGGTGTCTTCATCAAATCCTTCCTCTCAGGGTTCAGGGAACTCTGGAGAAGAGGTAGAAAGATTATAATAGCCAATGGAAATGGAAGATACCAAGGCAATAAAGCCTTCTATACACAAAATGACTGATGCATATGAACTCACACAGACTGGCATCATGTACAGAAGTCTAAGCTTGATGGGGTCCTAGTGCGAAGACCAGAAGCAGGAAGTAGGACATCTTCATCCCTAACTCAGCAGCTATCTCCAGCTAATAACCACTCAAAAAAGAAAAATTAGTTTTCTCCCATGGAGTTGTATTGGATTAAAAAAAAAAAAACCACAGTTAAGGGCAGGCTCCATGCCCAGCAGTAAGTAGAATAAAAGGCCAACAGAAAATGAACTCAATAGTATGCTTCAAGGTTTTTTATGGGTTTTTTTTTTGGTCACATGATGCATCATCTGGGCATTTTGTTCTTTTTCTTTGGTTCTTTTCCCACTATTCATTTTGTCCTAGTCAGGTTTGTTTTATTTTATCTTATTTTTATTACCATTATATATTTTTATAGAGTGGGAGATAAGGGCCAAATTTCAATTACTTATGTGTAAGTATCTAATTAAATAGTTTAAGGAACTAATAATTGTTTGTAAAAAAAACTAATCTCAAATCTGGATACATCTTGCATCATCAGTTCAGTCCACTGCAGCTTCTAAACATGTATTTGAGTTCTTGGTTAACTTATTTAGCAATGACATTAATCTCATGTGTTTATTAAGGGGTTTCTCTGTCTCAAGCTCTGTGTGCCCTTGCGTTATTTTTACAAACAAATCTCTGTGAGATAGATCCAATTATCTTCATCTTTTAAAAGAGAGATTAAAGAAGTTAATAGCTCATTAATTATAAAATGGGAGAGGATGAGCCATTGGACTTCCCACGGCATATTCATAGCCCCAATGTTAATTGGCTTCCTTTGCCTTAGTTGTACTAACACAGCCTTCTGTCTACCTCTAGAAGTTAAGCTTTGGTATCGGCAGGTTTTGGCTGTCAATACTGATAGTTCTGCAACTTCTTGTAGCAATACTCAAACCTGATTTTTTTCCACGGTGTCATTTCAATAGCACAGATAGACTGAAGGCAATGGAACAGGGATAATTGATACTCGAAACCAGAGTCTCTATTGAATGTGATGGTTTGCACAAAAAGCCGCCTATTGGCAAGTAGGAAAGATATGAGAGCGAGGGGATGGTAGCGCACACCTGTAGTAGCAGTACTCATGAAACTGAGGCAGGAGGATTAATGATGCAGTAGTATGATGAAGATGGGGAAAAATTAAGAAGAAAAGGTTTGGGAGTTATGGACCCGTTAAGAAAGAACTCCCCAAGTAAAGAAGCAGTTAGTGACATCTTAGTAAAGAAGTAATAGTGAGGGCTGGAGAGATGGCTCAGAGGTTAAGAGCATTGCCTGCTCTTCCAAAGGTCCTGAGTTCAATTCCCAGTAACCACATGGTGGCTCACAACCATCTGTAATGGGGTCTGGTGCCCTCTTCTGGCCTGCAGGCATACACACAGACAGAATATTGTATACATAATAAATAAATAAATATTTTTAAAAAGAAGTAATTATTGACATCTTAGTAAAGAAATAATTAGTGACATCTCAGTTTTGATAATACGGGTTCAAATACACAGAGGTAATAAATCTATATGCTAGGAGCTGGCGCATGACGTTTGAGTAGACACCTAATGTTTCTTAGACATGGATCATTGCAGCAGGAAGAAAAGGTGGAGCGGAAACAGCATGAGCAAGGATTCAGATGCTAAATGGAGCTACTTAGCTAGTCAGGAAGACATGACAAGAGCCAGAAGCTGTGACAGAGCCAGGCAAAAGAAGAGGGGAGGAGTCAGGCTTGGGGCAGGTGCTATGACCTCACAGTGGGCAGAGGCAGTGCTCTGTAAACAACCCCAGGCCTTGCTGAGATGATGTAGTCTGATGCCGTCCCTCCGGGGGTCACTTTTCAGGCTCCCTCCATGATGTGAACTTGAGTCCGCTTCCTCCCGTGATCACGTACAACTGGCAAATGCTTACCCTCTGCCATCATGCCAAGCATGAACTCAGGATCTTCCCAGGCTCAAAGATGTGCTGCATTAAAAGAAAAAAAAAATGTTGCATGTCTCATCTCCAGAGTAGTTATCTGCTCTGAACCAGACACTCCCCCTTGGTGCTCGTGTAATCAATGAGCAACTCTTTATTGAGCCTGTGATGAGCAGGGTATGGGCTTAGTCTCTCGCTAAAAATTAGGTGTTTCATAAAAAAAAAAGCACAGTGATTGAGAAATTACTTTTTCTTTGACATCAGAAAATGCCAAGTGAAATTTTTAGGCTTTGTTAAAACATGATGGAGTTTGGAACTTTGCTGGCAGAGGGTGTAGGCGTTAAGTGGGTTCTCGGTGGTTACTTGATTCATTAAATTTATCATGCCATTATCCTAAGTTATTATTTTTGTCTTCTAAGGTTGAGTGTTTGGAGTGGGGGAACACTTCCCTTGCTTCTCAAAATGTTTTTGGTTCCCTGCAGATAGAAATAACAAAGGACAAAAAAGAACTAATCACGCTTTGGCTAAGTCAGGATCTGATGATTGTATAACGCCAGCACAGCCGAATGCCTTTGCGCTCACGGTGCGTAGGTGGGGATATTCAGCCCCGCCAATGTGTGTGTTCTCATAGTCAAATCCAGCCCTATTAAACCCTCTTCAAGAGAGCCCTCCTGTCTTCTTAGCTCCACCAGCCTCACTCATTGGACCAATCGCCTTCATTGATAATGTGGTAAGGCGTCAAGGCTCTGCATCTTTACAGGGTTGGTATGTGTGTTAAATGAATACATTTGCTTTAAAACTGCACAACACAGGCATTGTGTACATGCTCGCTAATAATAGTTATCATAAAAACAAAAATGACTTAAGAAAGACAGTAAAGAAAGTTTTTTTTTTTTTTTAAAGATTGTTTGGGGATAGCACGTGTCCCCAACTCCCTATGGAAGTTGGAGAAGAGATGGTATGACTCACTTTTTTTTTTCTTAGGTGAGAATTTTGGTCACCAAGCTTGACCAAGCAAGCGTTTTTGCCCACGGAACCATTTTGCCGGTCCCAAGCTATTTTTCTTTACTGGGACCATTTAGGATGTGTGGTCCCACTGCCCTTGGGTTAACTACAAAGATGTATTTTGAATCATGAATCCTTGGGGTTGGTTTAGAAAGGAAAAGGTCACAGCCTCCATGTAGCTGGGCATCGTGGAAGGAGAGTGGCGTATTTTGCTTCCCAGCTCTGACCTCAATTGGATTGATTGCCTGATGTAAAATGACCTTTGAGTGTATCAAGCCCTTGAGCTATGTTTCCCACCTCCTTGCATGGGAAATGAAACTAGACAGCTGCCTGCTGGGCTAAGGTGAAGGTGTAGATAGAATACAACTCCGCCCATCCTCTAGAGAGGCCCTTACAGCAGGACCCAAGGACTCCTGGGCATTTTGTTTCACTGTGGCTTTTCAAGGATCTATTGGCACCATTCTCTTCCTGCCTGGTAATTAAGAGCAGCTGTCTCCGTTTGAAAGGAAGGAATCCCGTTAAAGTCCTCCCCTTCCTCTCCAGAATGTGCTACTGAAACATGCTAATTAGCGACTGGACTTAGGACAACACAGACATGTGTTTCCTGCGAGACTGGCGAAGGAAGAGGAGGAGGCAGAGGAACATCTGCTTAGTTGCATATGTGTGTATGGTGTTCTTGGTTGCAAAACGACATTTTGAACGAGACTCTTTCGACTCAAGTGTGATCAGCAACCAGGATCGAGGGCCTGGGACCCGGTAAACTGCCTTCTCCACCTTGGTTTGTGCTCATTACTCCTGCTTATCAGGTATCCCTCGTTCATCGGGAATGCAGACCCCCGACCCCCTTCACCGTCAAATTAACATCCTCGCTTCCCCTGTCTTTCAACCATCTCAGGAATCACTGGACTCCAGGGAATTCAAAAATAGCTCTCCTTCCTCCGAAGACCCCATTCCAGAGTAAACTGATAGCCAAATGGGTTTGTAACCATTAGCACACTGAGGGATTTGAGAAGGCACAAGGGCGTAAGGTTGGCATTGTGTTAAATGTTCCTAGCTAAAAATGGAAAACCCACGGCTACCCCAGCATAAACTGTGAGTATGTGAATAATCTGTGTTTTTATGAGTAATCTCAAGCATCCGTTCAAGGTTTTAAACTTGCTGGCCATCACTGCTCGGGGGCAAGAACTCCTCAGGATGTGGAAGGGAAGCTGGTTGCCTGGTTTGTTTTACAGGGAAGATCGTGGGGGTGTACTGAGAAGATGAGGAAAGCAGGAAGGGGCTGGAGGTAGGTGCTTGGGAAAAGAGTGGGCTACATCTTCCACCTCCATGACCAGTCTCCTGGGGCAGTCTGGCCAAGATCCCGCCCCCGAATTCCTGCTACTGTCTCCGCTATGCTGCTGGCCATCCCAGAGGCTGCTGCTGTAATTCGCTGCATCCCGGCTGATCTCATCATCTCGGTTTATAAGCTCATAGTTTCGGGTGGGTCTTCCTGTAGGAGTTGCAGAGGTCACAATTAGTTCATAGCCGTATGGCCCGACTCTACCGATGGATGGAGAAAGATCTGTTGTTTGTGGGAATTACTCTCTATAGGAGGCATAGTTGGAGTTTTGGTTACTCTCCCACACCACACACACACCAAATCATTCAAAGTAGCGATAGTATAATTTTCCATGAATATTTAGATTATTTTTAGAGAGAAAATGTGATCAGTATCTACCAGATATCTGCATGCTGTGTCTCTGCATTCAGAAGTGGAATGCTATTTGTCCTGTGTGCATCAATTATGAGTAGATAAAGTCTCCACCAATAAACCTAGAACCCACCATTTAGATCTATACACCTGGCCATCGATCTTGCTCTTAGAGGGTAGCCAGCCCCTGGGAGCCTTCGGCTGACAGCCTAGTGAGTTACAAGACTTAGGGGGAGCAAGCCTCGTTTCAAGCACACTGGAGCTCTAGGGCAAAGGTTTTCCTTAGCGTTCTTTCTAATTCCATGTCTACTTTGATCTCTTTCCTTGTCCTGTGACAGATGTCCCTGGGCTTCTGAGCTTTGGCTCAGCTGTGTAACTTTTCCCTCCCTATGATTTCATTTCCCCCTAGTAGAACGGCTGGTTAAGAATTCCAGGGTTGCTGGGTTTTCCCTGGATGTTGGCTCTTCTATCTGCAACATGCCTTTTTACTTTGACTTTATGATTATAGCAGACATTTTCATATTCTCTCTCTTTCTCTTTCCTGCCACCCCCTCCTGCTCTAGGTAGAAGCAAAGGGAATGGGAACAAATATAAATGTGTGTGTATATGAGTGCATGTGAGTGTGCGTGAATGTGCTTATGTGAGTGTGCATGTGTGAGTGTGTGTATGTGTAAGTGTGTGTGAGTATGAGTGTGTGGGTGTTTGTGTGAGTATGAGTGTGTGTGAGTGTGCATGTGTGTGTGTGTGTGTGAGTGTGTGTGTGTGAGTGTGTGTTATTTCTTTGGGGAGCAGAACAGATTGGTACATATGATGTGAGTTCTTCAACCACAGCCCCTGCTCTTCATCTGAGACCCCTTCCTGGGCTCCATTACTTTCGCAGTTAAACTCACGCCACCAGCTAGCAGCTCTCACAGCTGCATAAGCGCTCTTTGGAACCCTGCGTTCCTTTTCTCGGCTTTAAGTTCTAGCTTCAAGCTTTTCTCACCTACTCTTAATTTCCCTGGCAATCAGTACTCTCTGTCCTCAGAATTTCAGTCCTAAACATTTGCAAAGCCCAGAATTGGGAATAAATGGAGGTCACAGTTCATATTTCTAAATTCTTTCTTCCCTCCCTCTTTCTTCCTTCCTTTCTCTCTCTCTTTCTCTCTCTCTCTCTCTTTCTTTCTTTCTTTCTTTCTTTCTTCTCTTTCTTCTCTTTCTTCCTCCCTCCCTTCCCCTCTCTTTCTTTCTTTCCTTCTTTCTTTCTTTCTTTCTTTCTTCCTTCCTTCCTTCCTTCCTTTCTTTCTTTCACATGCATTGGTGTTTTGCCTGCATGGATATCTGGGTGGATCACTGGGTGTTGGATCCACTGGGACTGGAGTTACAGACAGTTGTGAGCTGCCATGTGGGTCCTGGGAATTGAACCCGGGTCCTCTGAGCCATTTCTCCAGCCCCTCTAAATTCTCAAATCGTACCCATGAAGCTAACATATAAATGACAAAAGAAGGGAGTGTGTCAGAGAAGGTAAATGATGATGGAGCTAAGGCAGATTAATGTCTAAGAGATACAGCTTGCTTGGAATGAGGTGTGTGCGCCACTTCTGGCTTAGAGAGTGGGGTCACTGGGACGAGTGGATGATGGACTGAAGGAGGGGTGACCTATTGATTCTAGAACTTCCTCAGCCAAAGAAGGGGAGATAGGAGAAGGCGTCCTGGGGCTGAGGCACTGCTGACGGGGTTAAGGGTGCCATTGGTGAACATAGCCTGCTTTGTACAGGGTTCTCTGCCTCTGTGATATCTAAGGGACCTGATCTCAGCTCTCACGTAGCATGGCAGTTGGGGTCTCCCTTCAGAAAATCTTCTCAATTCTCCCAGTTTGTAACTTTTTTGTCCTAAAATGGCAGTAATGCTCCCTGGGTGACCATAAGTGACATAACCGCTGTGCACCCCAGTTTGCTTTAGGGACTGTTAAGAGATATAGAAAGCTAGTATTTGCAGAAATGTAGAGATTTAGAAATTTAGAAAATTTTAGGAATTTTAGAAATTTTGGAAGTATTTTAGAAAATTCAGCAATGTAGAAATATAGAAAGCTAATATTGGCAGAAATATAGAGGAGTGCGTGATATCAAAGAAGTATTAAGTATTATAACTATTCTTGTATATGTACACAGCCCTCTGGTCTTAGAAAGAAAGGTCTCCCATTGTTCTGCTATGTGCTGCTGTAGCTCTCTCTTCCAATAACACGCTCTTGAATGTAAGGACTTAATTGTATTCAATTTTGTGCCCTTGGCGCAAAACCCAATGTTCAATCACTTAATAGGTGCTCAGTAAATATATCTGGGACTAGATTAACCACTTTTCAGAAGCTGGAATTTGTTACTCCAAATGCTTATATATACATGCTTATAAGGGAAATGCCTGGGACTGAATGCAGCTTCCAGGGTCTTTGAGGGTTGGATAGAGAAGGTAGAGGATACCATGAACCATGTCACTGGGTGACATACTGAGATGTTCAAGTGTCATTCTCAAGGATTAGTTACATCTGCAAAAGATACTAAATCTGTGTCCTGACAAGAATTTGTCATTCATAAATAATCTCATTCCATTATGGAATACTGTATATGTCTTCCATAGGAGCTGATGGATGTGCCAAATACTTTTCCGAAGACTTTACTATGCTGTATTTTCTCAACATCCCTCATCTGAGGTGTCTGTGAAACTGTTTTCCTTAATTGGACCTGCTTATTCTGATGACTTGCAGATAAGCCGGGCTCAGGAAATACGGTCAGGAGAAAGACTTTAATGATGTCTGCCTGATTACGATTACGAAACCGCTCTATCAAGGTTTCCCTATCATTGACTTAAGTGGTTGCTAGGTAATTTCTAGTCTAGCTCCACAATTAAACTGGAAGGGCCTGACAGCCAGTTCATCGTTCATCTGTGCTTCCATTAGAACTGGTCCTGGGCTGTGATCAGATGCAACACAATGCTTTTCAGGGAACCTACAAAACCCAAGTGAAAGACGCTAGACATCCTCCCCAGTGCATTCACCTACTTCTTTTAGCATTGTTCCTCCAGGTAACTGCGGAATGACAAAAGCATGTTGTTTCGGTGCTTGGAGAACCATAAGTACCCTGCCCCCAAATCTTCTTAAATTACAGAGCATCTAAAGACAGCATTAAATGTTCTTTGTGTCTTCAAATAATTATAAGTATTCTAAAGTAATTGATCTTACAGCAAAGGCTTGTATAGTAAAGTAGAAACTCTGGGTTTCTACTTTAACTAAACCTTCACGAACATCCACTGAGGTAAGAAAAACTATTGTCTTTATGTTACCAATAAGAAATGAAGGTGTTGGAAACTATAGATTCATTTGCTCTCAGTTGTGGTTCTAAGGGTTGAACCAAGGTCTTTGTATATACTAAGCATGGTTTGATTCACTGAACTCTATCTCCGTCCCCAGAATTAGGGATGTAGATTAATGTTATGCAAGTACAGAGAGGGCAAATATTGAAACCCAGTGTGTTTTTGTAGTCCTATCATTTCACAGGCGTTCTTTGGTAAATAAAGACTTTTTGTCATCATCTTTCAGGTAGATGGACCCCTTCGGAACTATATTTTAAGAGAAGGAAATCTAAGGGCATAATATTAGCACACACTTTGTAGTTCCTGTTTTTCTTTCTTCTTATATGTATTTCAATTCTTTATTTTTTGCTTTGCTTTGAGTCAGGGTCTCACTATGCAGCCCTTGCTTCCAGGTTAGCCATGAGCTCAAGAGAGTCACCTTCCTCTGTTTGCTGAGTGCTGAGGTTTAAAGGGGTGCACCACCATGCCCGGCTTAATTCTTTATTTTTAAGTCACATTAAATATGATGTATAAATATGATGTATATAGTAAAGCTAATTGTGAAATGAATTTGCAAATTTTCAGTAATGGAATTGTGCATGAGCATATTGACCGTATTGATACTTTGGTTCTTGTAGGCTTTGGGGCTGACCTCTAAAAATGAAGCTTTGGGATTTTTTCTTCTTTTTTTCTGAATGAAATGCAATCAAGGTTAGAGGAAATGCAAGACAAATTCACCATTGTTGAAATCAATGTCACCCTGACATCGGGGTCTTGTTTCCATGGCAACACATCAAGGCATTAACCATTGATTGCTGAGCTGATGTGAGGACAAGGTTTGAGCTCAGGTTTGCCTGCTGCGTTATTCCTGTCCTTGGATTCTTCACTTATTTTCCTTGCCTTCAGTCTTCTCACAAGTTAATAATAACCAGCTATGAAGAAGGGAGAAAACTCAGCATCCAGTGAAACTTCCTTGAATCTGGAAAATGGGGGACCATGTTGCAGGAGCTCTGCACGCTTCAAAGGAAAAATCTCAATGGCTCCATGAGTCTTGTCTTTGCTGTGTGCTCTTTCTCCCTCCTCCGGCTTCAGTGTTGGTGGCTAAACAGATAGAAAGGAAAGAACATTCTTCTCCCTCCAGCCCATTCACCTGTTGTTTACCTAAAAAGAAGGGGGAGTGGATGTATCCTGGGGCGAAAAGGAAGAAGATGAATGAGGACGGCCCTGTTACGATTATTGTCTAGGGACAGCTCTGAAACTGAGCCGAATTCCCCAAGTCTCTCAAAATCCATTGAGTTCATTATGTTTAACCCATTACTTTTTTTTTTTGAGGCATACAATGGCAATGCTTTAGAATAAAAAAAATCACAATTAGTGCAAAATAGAGGAATCTTTGTACTGACTTCCCTTTAAAATGATATTATAATTATGAATATTAGTTACATAAGCTAATATGTGCCAGGAACTGCAGTAACCGCCACTCTCTGTCTACTCATAAATACTCTGATGTTTGCACCCACTCCACAGTTGAGATACGGGACAGAAAATACATTTTTCCAGCGCTTCCAAACTATTATCTCACAGAGATAATTTCCAAACTCCACGCAGCCTGGGATTCGACTTGCATAACTGGCCCCTCTCTGTCTCCTAATGTCTATGCTTTCTGAAGGGCTGTGTCAACATTCCTAGTCACGGATTTTGACTCTTATTTACTGAAGTTGACAGCCTCAGTCAGGGCCATGTCAAAATACTTGCACCGCTTTTTGTTTATTTACCTTCCCGTGTGTGCGCGTCGGTATCCGTTAAAGAAAGGCAAAGTGATGTTTGGACAGAACTTTTCAGCCTCCTTCGTGACAATCATGGGTAGGCGGGGATGCCACAAGAACACTTATAAAGATGACGAACATGAAGTTTGTCTCCGCCGTTGTTGGGTTTAAACCAGAAAGGAAAAGAGTTGGATACTTTAATAGTTCATTTTTTTTCTCACTAAATTTCCTTTTGGTGTCTTCTTCAGTGCTTTTATTATGAAACTGTGGGATTAGACCCAGCCAAGTATCTCTTATATTATTCAGTGTTGGGGCTATAACATTTTTCGTTAGGTTCACCCTACTGCAGTATGAATGTGGAAATGAAAATTGACACTTGAGGCTGTGTTTGGTCCAATAACAAAATTAAGCTATTTAATTCCGGTTTGGAGTTCGTCAGAAGGTTTCAGCTCATGCTTAGTTTTTGATAGGTAGAAACTGGTAGAAATAATCCCATGGACTTAGTTGCTTTAAGTTACCCCACCGTAGAATCAAATCAGGACGACAGAAAGCATTTTGCCAGCTCAGTCATAATACTTTATTAGAGGAAAATAATAGTGATGGTCTAAATGTTACAATTTCACCAACAGCTACTAAATCTCCACTTACGGGTTGTTGAACTTAATTGCCATCATACTTCACAGTTCAGACATGATGTGAAAATTAGAGTAAATACTGGGACCAGTCCTTTGAATCAGTCTTCTGACATGCGTAGACACACGTGTGCTCAATAAATCTATTCAAACAAGCTTTAATTTTTAAGGGCCAGTAACAATTTAGCCTCTTATTAAGATTTACAGTGCTAAAATCGACGACTCTCGCAGGCAAAGGCTGAGTGATTGATAGTGTTTCTCTGCCCTCTAGTGGCCGGGTGCAGAATTGAACAGGCCGGCACAATCTGCTTAAGGCGCTGTTGCCTGTGTGTTCTGAGGTCTAGATTGCCACATCTATAAAGAATAGTGGTGGAGGGAGATTAAGGTCAAACCTCTAAAGCAGTGGTGCTCAACCATCCTAATGCTGCGACCCTTAAATCCAACTCCTCTTGTTGTGGGGACCCCCAACCATAAAATTATTTGCATTGCTGCTACTGTTATGAGTCATAACATAATGTCTGTGTTTTCCGACGCTCTTAGGTGACCCCCGTGGAAGGGTCATTCGAAGCCTAATGGATCGCGATCCACAGGTTGAGAACCACTGCTCTAGAGCGAGGTAATAGGAACATGAATTGCTGTCTCCGCTCTAATTTCGAAGGTACTGGGGAGGGAGTCATGATGCTTGCTTTTCACTCGCGAGATAGTGGAGTTCGCGGTGTGCTGCGACAGAGATGTTTCTCATCAGACTTTTCTTAACTTCTGGGGCTGATGATGTGCAATTTGGTACATCTGTAGGATGCTTAAGAGTATTCCTGACTTTCTTTCTGACAGATGCTAATGGTAACAGCACCTCACCCCCAGATAAGAAACATACCGCCTACGTTATCTTTGCTGGAAACCTGCTTGAGAACCATCCTGTTCTTCACAGTTCCTATGAATCTGCAGATGTTATGATACAAACATTTTCCCCGGTACCTAGCAAGCTGGGAGGCCTTGCAGTGATTCATGTAGCTTGTGCGAGAATCCTCAGGGGTCAACCCTACACTGCCCTTTGTCCCGGTCCTCAGTTAAGTTTCTTCCCTCTCAAATGACTCTAGTTTGTGTCAAGTTCAAGTTGGCGTAAATTTAGGTAGCACAGGGGAAAGGAAAGAGCTTCAAGGCTGGGCTGGGGCTGTTCAGCTCCTGTGAAGTGTTGTAAGGGTGTCAGCATTCTTCATGAGTGAGATGAAACTCTACTGGAGAGAGAGAGAGAGAGAGAGAGAGAGAGAGAGAGAGAGAGAGAGAGACTGTGATCCATTTTAATCTTTCAAAGGATTATGGCACTCTTTTCCTTTGTCTCAGGAAACAGTCTGTCAAAACGGCTAGGACAATCGGTTCTGGCTGTAAGACTGACTTAGTTTGAAATGCTCTCCCTAAGATCTCACTCCCTGTGCACCCAGAGACAAATGATGTAACTTGTCTGAGCCTCTGTTTTCCGATCTGAGGAGAAGATGGAGCAGTATTCCTGCTAGGTGAATCTAAGTGCCCTGGGACAGGAAATGCGCTGTTATTTCATTTACAATAATAAAAAAAAAAAGGTCCAACAAGGCTGGCGAACGCAGGCGGTTGGCTCTGCTTTGCTGTTAATCCAGCCCCTCTGCATTTGGAAGTTATCATTAATCTGTGCCTTTCAATCTATGCCTCGTCATGTGAAACTCTGTCCTTCCTTCACGTTCAGGGCCTAACACGTGAGAAGCAATTATTTTGCATAACTTTCAGTAATAAATGAAGCACAAACTCATTTATTTATTTCTTAGGGTCTCATAAAGCATGTGGCTGCTGCATTATGAGGAATGGTATGTCTTTCCTATAGTGAATGCTTATATAGATTAATTAATGCCAAAATGTACTTACCTCTTTATTCAGTTCTTAGACTTATATAAATAATCTTTAACTTGAATACTGATTGAGGGTGTAAAATATTAAATCTTCAGTTAAAATCCAACATTTTCAAATGTCAGTAATATATGTGGCCAACTCATAGGAGTTTATATATTCATAGACCATGACAAAATCACACCATGTCTGTCCTTTGACCTATAGTCGTTATAAGGTAGTATTGATTCTCTGTTAAAATATGTGTGTGTGTGTGTGTGTGTGTGTGTGTGTGTGTGCGTGTGTGTGTACTAGAGCTGAGGAAGTGCACGCTAGTATTTGCACTGTAACCTACTGTAGACTACAGCTTACATGGAGATTGTCTCCCATACAATGAGCTTCTTATAGGCCTCCCTTAGCATTCTCTTCGAAATGAAGACTTCATGTTACCCTCTCTACATGCATAAGACACCTGAAATAAATGAACTCACTATGGTGTTTTTCTAGAGTCAATAATCCAATTCTAATTACTCAGGTGGCTTCTTCTCTATTCCCAGAAGAAAAAAATTACAAATCTCTGTATCCCTGAGCATTCCTATTCCCCAAGCCACTAATCCATAGCACATCATAAGAAAGGAATTCTTACGGGTCCCTAGGGACCCTTTATATGAGCTAATAGATTTTTCTTATTTTTGTCCTTTGAATAGTTCTTCATTTGGCGTAGACATTTGCCATGGGATTTATTTTTATTGTTGTTGTCTCCTTGATGATTTAGAGAGTGGAAGGAACAAGATACCTTTTTCTTCTTCCTTCCTTTTTATTCATCAGCGTATTGTTCTTTAAATGTTGACTGGTTCATTCTTCTCAGAAGATGTCACGGCCAAGTGATAAGCTTCCCCACACGGTTGAATTTGGTTTCTCACCACAGCTGGAAAGCCATCTGAGATCATTTTAGGAAAGGCTGAAGGTGGCCACACTGCCGATTTTTAATGACCCCAGACCTATTTTCGGCATTCCGGGCTGATGGCTTCTTAGCCACCTGCCTTACCACTAAACAAGAAGAAAAACAGATGGCAAGGGGAGCCAAAAGGTCAAGAGAAGGCCTTGGAGGCGGCCATCTTGAGATCGGCTTGCTCTTTGATCTCGTGTTTGCCAACTGGAAAATGTCCCGGGCTATCAGCTGCATTGGAAGCTCAAGCCCTTCAGAGATGCTGACGCTTTCTATTAGCCCCAGGTGGCTGACAAGGTCTTTAATCTTACGCTGAAATCACTACAAGGCCCTTAAGAGCAGGTGGCCTTTCCAGGAATAGATGCTTTGGAAATTGTGAGGGAGGCTGAGCAGCCTAAAAGGTTTTGTACCATGGATGACCCCGTTTACTTCATCCGAGCACAGAGCAATAAATGTAATGTTGGGCTCCCTGAATGTTTGTGATTTGAAACGATCTGAGTGACTCTTTCTTCATCGTGGGAAAGTGTTCTCAGCAGTTTAATTCACCCATTGCCTGTCTTGAGACTGGAACTTGCAGAAAAATGGTCAGAGAATCTGCTCCAAGGGTCACAAAAGTCCTAACTGGTTTTCCTGGGAGTTTTGAAATCATCTGACAGGTTGATTTTGCAACTATTTGGACAGTTGTTTCCGGGTGGAGTCTTTCCACCAAAAGTACTCTTCCAAGCATCACTACAGTCTGACATTTCTTTGCTGGGTTCTTTAAGTCCATATAAAAATGAACCTGGAGACGTCTTAGCTGTTTGCTCTCATTTCGAACATGTAGAAATATGCTTTGCCTGACAGTTTTTGTTTGAGGTTTTAGATGCTAAACATTTTCAGGCTTTGCTAAAGAAAATGGTTCTGAAGTGGGAGGAGTCATTCTTTGCGATAGTCACCCGTGTGCCGTAAGGACCTGTCTCCAGACGAAAGATGTACAGTCTAGACAGGAAGAGGGAAGTGGTGGGCAGGAGGAAGCAGCAGGCAGAACTCCGTGGAGTTTAGCTCTGTGGACAGCCGCCCACTGTAGGCCTAAGTATTGCAAAAATGGTTAGCAAAGCTGAGGTTTCAAAGTAAATATTCATAACCACACAAAGGCAGGCGACTTCAAGCCAAACGATCTTTCTTGAAAAGAAAAATGTGTCATAAGCATAAGATGTCCAACTGTGACTTGGCTTCCCCCATTACATGCAACTTTGCTTAAGTTCCTCTCATTTATGTATATAGTTTAGAAAGTTTCTTTTTTATCTTTTTTTATTACTTTATAAATAATACCAATCAAATTTCCACTTCCTCTCCTCCTCCCACTTCCCTTCTGCTCCCCTACTCCCTCTCCCCTTCTCCCCATCCAGTCCTAAGAGAGGGCAGGGTACCCTGCCCTGTGGGAAGTTCAAGGCCCTCCCCCCTCCATCCAGGCCTAGGAAGGTGAGCATCCAAATAGACTAGGATCCCAAAAGCCAGTACATGCAGTAAAGACAAATCCCAGTGCCATTATCCTTGGCTTCTCAGTCTGCCCCAATTGTCAGCTACATTCATAGGGTCCAGTTTGATCCCATGCTCGTTCAGTCCCAGTGCAGCTAGATTTGGTGAGCTCCCTTTAGCTCAGGTTTCCATATGACTTTTCAAAAGCCCATTAGTGTCAGCTGTCCATCCCCAGAGTCTATGCTCTGCCCTGCCCCCACTCCCCCATGCCCTTTGACCCTCCTATTCTAATTCCCTCTTGATCTCTTTATAATTCTATATTCTATATGCCCCTCCTTGGAAAATTGCCTTCTTTGCTCTGTCACCTTGTGGGTTACCAAACCCCCAGGACTCTGTGAGGATTCTGAATGAAACACACATATCTAAAACATGAAAGCCAACATCCACATATAATGGATATCATGCAATGTTTGTTTTTCTGGATCTGAGTAACCTAACTCGGGATACTTATTTCTAGTTCACCCGCTTATCTGTAAATTCATTTGTCTTAACAGTTTAACAATATTCCACTACATAGCTATACCATATTTTCAGTATCCATTCATCTGTTGATAGACATCTAGGTTCTTCCCAACTTCTGACTACTCTGAAGAGAGCAGCAATAAACGTGGATGAGCAAGTATCTCTGTAGTATGCCACAGAGTCCCTGCAAACTGCAACAGTAACCTGTGTGGGTGATAAGCTCCCTGGATAATACTGGAACAGTGTTGTGGGAGTAATCAAACACTTTTTAAAACTGGATTTAAAGCCTGCTTTCTGATCTAGAGCCAATACCTAGCACTGCTAATGAGGTCAAGGACCACAGGCTAGATAGGTCAGGAGTTCTGAAGGAAAATATTACAACTATTGTGTTAAATGAACACAGCAGTAAAATGACTTCCAATGATAAGTTGTTATACCTTTAGATCAGGTCAATACTTCTCAGCAGAGAAGCTTCTTGCTGTAGTGGATAGTAATCAACACAGAGATGCACAACTGGACCGTGCACAGACAGTAAGGGACATTGGCTCACTCCGCCCTACCCGGGATGTCATTATCACACCCCTCAAAGGGATCTATGTTTAAAAGGATACCCCAAAATCTGCAAGATTCAGAGGTGGTAGATGTCTTTAAGGGAACAAAATCTTCCAGACGCAATGGGACCGGTATATATACACACTCACAGAGACTGTGACAGCATGCGTAAGACCTGTAAGTGTTCAAACCAGACAAAATTCCAGTTGTGAAAAGGGCAAGTGGGCACAAATTCCCATCCCAGTCAAGAAACTATTTGAAATTAATGGCTTCTATGAGAG